TTCACCGCTTCACCCTTCACCCGACGAGGCCCGATCATGATGACACCGTCAACTGTCACCCTTCTCAGCAACAACAGCGAACTCAGGAAAGACGCCAAAAGGCTACAACCCAAATGGCCCTTCGAGTCATCGTCATCGGATCCCTCATCAGCCTCCGTCATCCAGCACCGCAGCGTCCTGCCTCCCGTCAGCCGCGTTAAAAATAGCCCTGGCGAACCAGCAAGGGCCAACCGTCACCATCTTCCCCCGAGGCTGACTTGCTTATGTCATCAACTCTCTTCTGCCGCTTCTCTCGTCGCCTGCTGAGCGCACGTGGTCCAGGTCACGGGATCTTCTTGCTTAGTCACCCCTTCACCGCCTTCCCCTTCCGCCCTCAGCCTTGTTTATCCCTTTTGGCCTTTTTCTTCTTCTTGATACCCAAAGCCTGTTTTTCTTCTTCTACTTTGCTTCTACTTCTGCTTCATACGAGATACCCGGATTTTTTTGCTTTAAGCCCTATTTTATAAGCCCTTTTTAATGTTTTAGTTGTTTCCTTTGTCGCTTTCCTTTGTCGCAGCCATGTCTTTCCTACTCAGTCTATATATATACCCTTGAGCGTTTGAGAGCGATATCATCATCATCATCATCAGCAACAGTCATAGTTAGCAAGCCACTTAGTTTAGCACCCTTTTAGCTATTAGTAATTCAAACAAAGTCATTCACACAAACCTGCTGCTTCTTCTCTTCTTCCTTTCTTCAGCTTTTCTTCCTTTGTTTCTCCATGCATCTCCGGAGTTGACTGTGTGAGGTAAGCCTCGCTGAAGCGAAGAGGAGCGCATGGCCAGGGTTGCACCATGGGTCGGATCTTCCGGACAGCGGTGAGGATGGAAGTTACCTTACCTTACCCGACTCCATACACACATACACACATACACACACATGCATGCATGAGGATACCTTAAGATTAATAATTAACGAGATCGTAAAGGATGCATGACACTTAATCGGTGAAGAAGTCTTGACCTCTTTTGACTTTCTTTTCTTGACTCTGCTCTGATCCCCAAACATCGGTGAAACTCGCATGAGATCGGTGAGAGAAGTGCGCGTATCTTGAAGCGTTGAACCACTGAGCGAACTAGCAGGGTTGTCGGCTGGCGGACGACGGCGGCGGCGGCGACGGGCGGGCGGGCGGGCGGCATGCGTCGCTCTGTCGACATGCGAGTGTACAGTAGTAGTTACGGAGTAGGTAATTATTGTTATCGTTATTGTTATTAGTATCGCTGACCGACTCTACGATGGAGGCCGGAGTTGATGCGAGGCATCTGTACTCCGTGTGTATGTTCGGAGCAGCCATAGATTGGATGCAGTTTTCTAGCCTACTCCGGCCCGGGGAAAGTAGGTACTGTGTATGTATGTAGCAGCGGCATGGGATGAGGCTGGTGATGTCAGGCTGCGCCGATGTGACACCTGTCATACACCCTCGGTCATTACTTAACTACTTAACCACGGATACTTTCCTTGCGCGTGGGAGATGACTAGCATGGGTCGGTGGAGGGAGGGACGGCGATGGAACTGGAGTTGGAGATGTGCCCCCATGCAGGCCAGCCCTGTCAGACACCCTTATTCTTGTGTGTATAGGGATGTAACTAACGACGAAACTGGAGATTGATGGAGATGAAGCCAGTGGGCTGCCAGAGCATTACAAGGGAGTGAGGTAACAACGGTGTATAAGATCGTATTGGGCTGATTTTTGCAAAACGCACACCGTTCAGGGCTGAGACGGGGACACACACCGACACCCGACACCGACAAGTTAGAGTAATAACAGGGTTCGCTATGATATCCTCATGCATAAGTCCGGTGGTTCGGAGTTGTCGTTCAGAGGGCGTAACGAGGTTAAGTGGCCGGAGTCGAAGCCAGACTTGGAAGGACGGGATCGGCTTCTTTTTTGGATGGCATCGATGGCGAAGGTGAAGGCGACGGCGACGGCGATGGCGATGGACCTGAGTACGGTGAGTCCTTGATATGTACTATATGGATGGACCGCGGCTGCGACGGTGAAGTGCTACGTTGATGGAGCTGTTATCGTTAGCTAATTTACACCGAGTATTATTACTTACGTAGGGAAGGAAGCAGGAATAGAGACACGTCGGCAACTAATCTCGTCTTTCTCGTGCTTTTCGTCCTTCGCTTCGTCCTTCTACCATCTCCGTGTTCGTGTTCTGGAGAGGATGTGAAACGCCCAGCGGTGATTAAACTTCTATCCGCCGTTTCTGCGCGGTTTGGACGGGAGATTGCCATCCTGCACCCCCTAGCCGTTCACGAAGGAGCTAGCCGGGTAGGTAGTTTTAATAGCTCGGGAGTTCGTTAATATGTAATATTAGCGTGTCCGTAGGCACCCTAAGATCACCAGTTCGCTTGCTCCGAGCATGGCCCTGCTTCTTATCCTTCTCTTATTCTTCTCTTGTTCTTCTTATTCTTCTTCACGGATATACGGGGTACGAGCAAGCTCATGGGAGTTTCCGAGGTGTTCTAGCTTGAATTGGTAGGAGGCAGGTAGGAAGAGTAAGCTAGCTGGGGCCCGGCCACTGGCTACGAAGTCGAGTCTCGTCTTGTCTGGCCTCGGTTGGCCGGATAAGGCTGGCAGCGCTCGTCTCGTCGCCTTCTACCGTCTTCCTTTTTTGTTCTTTCGTGCTTCCTTCCAATTTGTTTCCCTGCTGCATACCCTTGCCACGTGTGGGGAGGCGTTGGAGGAGTTCGTTGATCGTTGTGCAGCCTGTTCAGGGTCCATTCAGCCGAGACGTAACCTGTTTGGGCCCTGCCGACGGACGGCCTTTGAAGTCTGAGGTTAGACGAAGCAGCTTCCACCCCCCCCTAATGCAACGTTGCTCGGCTAGCTGTCTCGCTCGCTCTCAGGGGTATCTGTCCTCTTCCTTCTGTTAATGTACGGAGTACGTATGTATGTAACGAACGGATGTAATCTTACACGCGAGGCAGGAATAAGTATCTCCGTTTGAAACAAGAGGCTGACTGTCTGTCTCATGTCTGGTCTGGTCTGGTCTGGCCGAGCATCATCTATATTTATAGATTTATGCTGCATAACCATACATAACATAACTCCCAGCACTCCATTGGCACCCCAGATGTCTGCGTCGATTGACCCGATCTCAAGATCATGCCACGTGCGGCTGATATTTGAATATGGCCGTGCATCAGCGGTCCCTTCCCTCTGGACACCCGTGGGCCCCTGCGTCCTTCGTTCCCGTCGTCAGTAGGGCAGAATCTGGGGGTGCATGATGCAGGTTGACTGGCTGTGGTGTCTTTTCGTCTGCAAATATGACGGTATCATGTAGATGGCGCTCTTCAAGGGTATTTTCTTGTATTGTATCTCAGGCTGCATGCTTGCCGTGAACTCACTGGTAAAGATAGCGAGCAGAGTAGTCTACCCAGATGCTGCTCCCGTCCATGGAAGGAGTAATAATGGGATATTTTAAATAAATAAAGGTACCGCTTCCTGTTGGAGGTCAAGAGCAGACTGCGTAGCCTTACATGTATACATGTGACAGATATAGTGGTCGTGTCCAAGATGCTCTTCATGCTGCCTTCCCTTGCCATGCTGCGCAGACGGCCATTTCATAGACCACTCTCCAAAGACTCCCCACCTTGGTTGGTACTATATCTCCATTTTTGAATTTTTGAATAGTACAGGACTAACAAGAGAAAAAATTCGTCCCTTTTTCCTGCTTTTCCCTAACGGGGCCTGAAAATTAAATGTGAGCAGGAAGAGGGATATCGTTATTCTCCCCTCTGTTCCCTTTTACCACTTCTGGGCGCGTTTTGTACATTTTTTCGGGCGAGTAAGTGTTAAATTCCTTGACTGAGGTAGCAGATGTGATGTAATCAGCTTATCCTGCTTGTTGTCAGCGTGTATCATCCTCTGTCAGCGGTTGCCAATCCTCATATTCACGTATAGTATATATACATGCCTGTTCTGATATCTAACTGGCTTGTGTTAGGCAGGCGGCAAAGGGATAATAACCATCAGGATAACTGGCTGTGGATATGGCGGACTTACGGTGCATATATGCTTGCTGGCTGGCTGACTGGATGGAAGGATTCTTCGAGTAGAAATAACGAAGGAGCGAATGCTGCGGCACATGCGTTGTAAACCCTCCTCAGTTTCCATGGAGAAGAACAGAAGGGTTAGAGCAGGATGACGTTAAGGTGACTGGAACTTGAATATCGCATCCATGGATGAAGAAACTCTCAGCTAAAGTTTGTAACAGATACAAAACGTGCATGTTTGTTAATAGATGTTTAGCTGATAACAGTATATCGAGTTTCTGTTGACGAGGTCCGCCAGCAAGATGACTCCGCAGGATGTCCCCAGGAACTTGGGTCTTTTTTTCGCCTTTGTCTGGGGTAACCAGTTATACCAACCGCGCCTCATGGAAAAAAGGGGTAAAAGGGCGACGCCTGAACTGTGGTTGCGGCACGGGAAGAAAGTCGAGCTCCCTTCTTGGGTCCCACACCGAACCACAGAACCGGAAAACTCAGGCAACTCAACTTCAACGTCCTTCTTTGGCCATTCTTCATCTTCTGTTTCACCGTCTTCATCTCCTTCATCAGCGTGACGACTGATACTTCACCTGGTATTCTTCTATAGCCGATATGGCAATCTGTCCTTTGGTGACCTGAGCTTTGCTTTTCAAACGCGGCATGGTGATCTCCAGTGCCGCATTTGTCAACACGCGGAGAACAAGGGGTATCTGAATGACAAGAAGACGGCAGGGAGATGAGAGTCCTGCGCACAGAGACTGCAACTGACAGATGCTCAGTAATGCGTTTGTCTCCTCGCATTATTGCTATGCAGTTTGGGGGCCGAGTAGCTAGCAGCATGCAGGGTGAGTCAATCCCTCCAGGGACAGAGATCCTGCATCGCAAATTAGTTAACTAATTAACTGGCATGCTAGTCAACGTACAGTACGTTTCATCACTGCCTTAACAAAGCCATCGCCGTTTGTTTGTCCAGATACCTTTTTCGCCACCGACCTGATGCTACCTGGACGGTGCTGCGGCTCAAACTGCACCGCAAGGCCAGCCGTGTTTACAAGCGTCAAGACCCCGCCTCAGGTCTATTTGAAAGGGTATTTCAAGACATTTGATATCGCGGCTAAGGGCTAAAAATATACCATAAAGCTAACAAGCTGGGTATCCAGGCATCCGTGGCGCAGCGGCCTCAAGGGTCGGCATAATTATTCATGCTGTATATAATATATGCGGTTTCAAGCAAGGATTCGGCTTCCCTGAGCCCTCCTTGGTCGTCCTTCAAATGGTCACAAGCAGCTGTGCCAGAAACCGGCTGAGATTATCATCCCTCTTATGAAGGGGAAAGGTGGAATATTTGGCTGTTGCTGGTGAAAAGTTGGATTTTTTCCTTCTGTGCAGTACGGAGTAAAACTTGGCCAATCAGTCCGCAGCCTGCATGGGTAGACAACGAGAAAGCTACGCCTTTCGTACGACTCGGAGACTATTTGTTCCTTCATAATAGGTCTCTTGGCCATTCAGGCACCAAACGTCTATTGTACGTCCATCCTAATGTTAGGATCTGGTCATCCTCGTCAGAGGCCGCGAGGTCGCAGTGTGGCTAGCGAGCGAAGCCTTAACCCCCATCTGCACAGCATCAACGATCCAAGACATCCTTGGGCGATGCTGGTTAGCTAAGCCTAACTAACTAGTCAACTAACTACACGTCACGCACGGGGCGGATTGATGGGCTTAAATCTCGAGAACGACACGACTGCTTCGTTTCCCCGGTCCCTCTCGTTACGCGCTGGCCCTCTGGATGGCGTTGTTCGCCTTGGGGGCAAGAAGGGTCGCTCTTGAGCACCAGCGAGCGCTCACGCAACGCATGCGATACTGTGTGGACCCAGGCTATCACGTTCAATCAGGATGTGATTGGGTTGTTGCTGTGATGCGGGCTGCAGCGTGAAGAACTCTCTGCCATCTCTTGAGCCAATCCCGTTGCAGGAGAACCTGAGAGTGACGGACACTAACTGTGATCCTTGTATCTTGGCTACTTTCATCACCTCTAGCCCCACGCTCCTCCCTAGCTGGAAAGTATTGAAGCCCTGACGAGGCGTCTCATGCCTGCAGGCCACTGTCGAAGAGGACAGGATGTCGAGCCTGGATGCACCGCGAGAGTCTCTCTCGAGATCAGGCGAGGACCGCCTACCATAATGTACGAGCATATCGCTTGCAATGCTAGCTATTATCGTCACTAACGGCGCCATTTCGCTTTCGCATTTTGCATGAAGTAGGCGCGTACACTGACAGAGATCGACTCTACTTGCTTTTTCCTTCCTATCTTCCCGCACGGTTACCTGCATTCTTATCCATCCGGCAGTCCTTATCTCGAGGTTGACAGAGAGCCTGGCATACATACATATTATTAACTATTACATGCTGTCTTTTGCACAAGGATTTGCCTGTCAACAACGAGAAAGTCAACGGCCAAAGGAGTACAAGCAGTTACTGCTCCACCGATGGATAAGCTGCGTTTACTGGCGAAGAAAAGTTCATCCACAGCCCTTCGAGAAGCCCAAGTGGTTTCATAACTCTGGACTCCAACCTCAGACGGCTCCCTATATGGTCAGCCTGCACTCTTCCCTACTAATTGGTTCCTTGAAAAGTAGACCCATGCCGGCGCTTATTGGTGCCCACAAGCAAGCTCTACCCTTGATTAACCAGCCACCCTGCTTGAAAGCACAGCAAGCTCGAAGGGAAAACTGCTCGCCCCCGGCAGCAACTAGGTCTTAGCCCCCGTCCACCCCATTCGTGCCAGCCGTCTCCATATAAGGTCAGGTCAACACGATACCAAGCACAAATAGGAGCTGCGAGGCCTGACCTCCTTGCCCGGTTGGACCATCACCTATATTTACTCATTTTCGTTAAGGTTCTGGGGGTCATCGATGTTCTCTTTCTGGCAAGCGTTTCTCTCCTCCATCAACTAACCCCTTCAGAGGTCCCTTTTTCTCGCATCCCTTTCCTCTCCATCTTCAAATAACCGATGTTGGTGACAGAAGCCTCTCCCTAAAAGAGTCTCTTCTCTCACACTTTCACTCACCTTGAACCTTCGACGGCACCCGTTTATTGAGCATTTAGCCTGGTAGATCTTCGTCTCAAGTGCATATCACTCTTTTTACGTTGACTTTCCCGTTTGATTCCAAGCGCCTACTTTCTGCCCCGCGGCGCCTATTTCATTTTACGACCTTATTTTCGACCTTTCAGTTTTATCCCATCTTCAAATAATAACTCTCGCAGTCTGTTTCATAACCGCTGTGAAAGGGTTTAGCCGCTGTGTCTTTTACTATTGTTCATGCAGGGTTAAGGCGCTGAAGGCGCCTCCGCAAGTCCGTCAGTCTCCAAGCGCCCTTCTTCCACATTAAAATAAGCATTCTCCTGGTCTCTCCCCTCGCTGTCGCCGTTTTCATCTCTCTTCGTCTTGCTCTTCTTTACCAGCTAATCCCATGCGCAGACCTCTTAATTAATACCTCCAACCGATTCCTCGCCCGTAAAGATGTCTTCCGAGCACTATGGAGTTCGGGTGTCAACATCTTCGGGCTCGCGCTCGGCTTCCGGTGCCCTACTGGCAAGCCCTCCCATCGAGCTAAATAATGATCTCAGCCCTTGCGCCGCTACCGCATCATTGTTCCTATTCTCACAAGGGCCGACCGTCATCGCCTTACATCATGACAGCTTGGCCGTGGACCGGAGGTTTCATCGCCATCGGGATGATGTCCAGATAATAGCAGTTGATAATGTTAGTGAACGAGGGGCCGGCCGTTTGGTGGTTAGTTACGACATTGGCCATACTGCGATAATATGGGATCTCTTCACCGGTCAAGAAATTACTCGGTTTGTCTCATTTGAGCCGATCAGGGTTGCTACTTGGTTACGGAATGGCCATGTTGCATTTGGTTAGTTATGTTTCCTCCTTGAGTTTGAGGGTAGTCGTTGTTCAGGGCTAATGAGCGAGTTGCAGGAAATATCAAGGGCGAAATCATATTGTTTGAGCCATCAACCTCGGAACACATATCTGCCCGCACGATATTTGACCCAATCACAGCATTGGCTCCAACGATGGATTGTAACACCTTTGCCATAGGGTATTTCCACGGTTGACTCCCAAACCTTGTATGTTCGTACTGACTTTAAATTGAATAGATATCTCAACGGCTCCATTCTTATTGCTACCCTTCTTCCAACGTTTACCATTTTGCACACCCTCACAACCACCAGGGGCCCGTCACCGGTCATCTCCCTTTCATGGCATGCTTCGTCAACTAAGCAGAAAACTGATATGCTGGCATCCCAAACAATAGATGGTGATCTATTTGTCTGGAGCGTAGCCAAGCAGCCATCCACAGAGTCACCCCGAGTTATCAGAGCTTTAAAGAAGTCAGAATCAAATATTACGAGCCCCAAGTGGTTAGCTTGGTCAAAGAATGGCCGCATTGTTCAGCACAACGACGGGTTAGAGGAAATTCCCGCAAACTATACGCAATAACCTAAGAGTTACTAACATTTTGTATAGGGAGAGCCTAGCGTGGGATGTCAGGACAAAAAATGTCTCTTATGAAACCATACCGACCATTCAAGGTGTCCAAGGCATAGCAAACTATGGGCCTACTGCTACGCTTTTCACAATGGGCCCGAACCATACTATACAGCAATATGATGTAGCAAATGCTGTAATGGTTGCAAATACCCAGCACATTCCACAGAAACCAGATTTACCTGTTGAACAAGTCCCAGCCGCCGAGAGCTCCCTTACCGTCGAAACTCTAGCGAAACACACAGCATCTGAACAAAAACACAAAAGCCGCCCGTCACAAGGGTCTTTGCCTGGTGTCGAGTCGAAACTTGATTTGGTTCGTGCAGAGGCTTCAAAGAGCCCAGGGTCCGGATATAGCGTACCTATTTCGAATGGATCTCGGCCCCGTAACCGGACGCCGTATGCTCCTCGCCCTCCCGGGTCGAATTATAGCGGATCAGCGACCACATTCTCTCTTGGGTCTCCTCGGCCATCCATCGCAGAAACACTTCACTCCGGCTATTCCGCACGGTATGCAATGTCAATGAACTCCACGGAGTCTACCTTGTCCAAGCTGCGCACTGTTTCTATCCCTGGAATATGGGACGACCCTGTCACCGACTTGTTCCCCTACATACGTGCTCGGTTAAACAGTGTATCAATAAACCCATCTCGTAGATTTGATGATCCAAATCTTGGGCCGGATGAACTACGAAGGCAAATGTTGACTGTGATATTTGGATGGGAGGGAAACATTGAAGACCTGATACGGAGTGAATGTGAGAAATTACCCATCTTTTTCTCTGCTGCGGCCTGCTAACGCTTTCTATTAGTCAAACAACATACATATGGTTCACAGCATTCTGCAATCCTAGCAAGATGGCTACTTACCTCTGAGGCCGACATAATGGCACCCATGGTTGAAGCATCAACCTCCTCATATGTCAACTGGATGATTATGGCCCTTAGTCTATTGACGAAGAAGGAAGCCTCAAAAGAGCCTGGCCAGGCACTTGCTAAAAAGCTCCTGGCTTCGAACGACACCCACGCAGCAGCAGCAGTGTTGATGGGTATTGGAGAAGGGGATCTTGCCGTTGAGCTATATGTGTCCAAAAACCAGTTCATGGAAGCTGTGCTTTTAAGCTGTTTATTGACACCAGCTGCATGGTCTAGGCAATCATATCTCATCCGCAAATGGGGAGAGCATGCGGCTATAAACTCGCAACAGCACCTGGCATTGCGTTGTTTCTCCTGCACGGAAACGGCAAACCCCGTATCTTGGAAAGGTCCTACTAGTCATCCCTCTGGCTCCAACCCACCCTCAGAGAAGAACCAAGGTGCCCCACTGAACGGCCCGCCTTTGAATAACTTATCTCCAACGTCTCGTCTCAAGAACCAATCGCTGAGGCTCATAACGTCGTTTGGTTCAAATAGCAACTCTACCTTCCAGTTCCCTGGTCTTGCCTCAGCCGATAGAACCCCTACAAATATGCCCGGAGTCACTCCAATTGATGCTGGATTGGGAGACCAGATGTTCTCCCCCGGAGGTTTCAATAGTGGCCTTCGGCCAGGCAGCCACCGAGGCCAAGGTGCCACTCCAGTCTCCCGAACTCATCCGGCAAGCTTTGGAAGGGAACGTCTTCCGTCCATCGGAGAATCACCAAATGATCCTACCCCAACTGTAGCAGCTCCAAGGGGCCGTATTCCAGTCGACCAGTCCTCTGAATCTGACAAAGAAATAAAGGTAATTGACGTGCCGCTTGTACCGCCGCCGGCGTCAAATCTAAACCCAACCACCACGGAATCCCTTGAATATCTGACCCCGGCTAGATACACCCCGCTAAATGAATCCATGAAGGAGAAGGAAACACCCATGACGGCTGTACCGCCGGACAGGACTATGAGTTCTTCTTCGGGCCGGGAAAACAAGCTGGAGAATTCATTAGGACAGAATCAACGGAGTAGCAATGGCTCACAATCCCGGAAACCTGATGGATTGCAGATTCAGTGGCCTCCTGTTGACGATCAATCCTCTGAGGATCAGCCATCAGAGGAATCGTATTATCAACAGCCGTCATCAAATCGCCGAAATGGTGAGAGAGCAGATGGTGTGATGAGCCCAACTACTTCTACGAGAAGTGCAAGGTCAGGTGCAAGTGTGCCATTAAGTGCGAAAAGCCTCGATAAGTATATCAGCAGCCTTGATGGGGCCAGCTATCATTCGCAAAGACAAAAACCACACAAGAAGTCCGGCTCAAGAGCAAGCTCAAAAGACCCTAATGGACGCGGAAGAAGTAAGCAGAGATATATCCAGCCAGCTAAGAAGTCACCATCATCACCTATTCCAATGTCACCAGAGGACATTGCTCTCTACTCCTCTTCTTCTAGAGATTATATCGGGGTTCAGCCGCCGTCGAGAAACGGAAGGAAGAGTAGTAGGATGCGCAGCAACAGCCCTGGGGGTAGGAGCAGGGTATCTGGACGAAGCACAAGCAGACGCCGGGATTTCGATTATTCGTTACGGTCACCAACTTCGCCTGTCCCGATGTCTCCCGCCGAAAGTAGTGGTGATACTGACCGGAGGTTCAGGCTATTGAATGCTGAGCGGAAACAGCGTTATAAATCCAGAGAAAGAAGTGCAAACCGCCGTCACGATCGGAGTAGGAGTGCCCCCCGTCACTCTTTATCGGAACAGAGAAATGGAACCGAAAAGGATAGTGATACTAGTGGAGAACTCACCAATCGTTCTGATCCAGTCCATCCGACATATAACTCCAGTGACGACCAATGCCAGCCACAGCTGTTCAGCCATAACCAGATTGACAATCAACTGGATGAATATGGCAGGAAACGATCAGCTGCCGCGGAGCTTGAGGCTCGCCGCCAATCTTTAGCTCGTCGGCCCTCTGCTCCTCCCATCCCTCTTCCTGGAGAGGCAAGCCTAAACCAAATTCTGTCTGGCCGTCCTTCCCCTTCACCCGGCCCACAAACCCACGGTAGGTCTAATAGCTCTTTTAGCCAAAGGGCTATGTCTAAAAGTACAGGACCTACCCCTTCTAGCCTCAATGAGCGTGTTCCATTCACCATGCCAATTGGACTCCCTGCTACTCCTAGAGCTATGAGGCATCCAAAGTACAGCACTGGGTACAACGATTCTGAGGCGCCCGAAGTACCTGAAGTACCGCCTCCGGATTCATTCTATAACTATGAGAGAAGGCCGTCATTCAATATCCCTCGTTCCATGTCTGCTCCAATTCCAGCGGAAGACGGTATACCCACCCATCCTCATTTCCAGCGTCAGCTTCCTAGTAGTCGGATAAACCGAACCCCAGGCCATAAACGTGAGCCATCAAACGAGGGTATTACACTGGAGAATTCCCGAGTAGAGAACTTACGAGCTGAGCATTCGCGCATCACTTCTGGTCCGCTGCCCCCTCTCCTTCCAGAGCTGCAGCATTTGCATGCCACCGCTACTCCTCCACCTCCACCACCCCCGCCAGCTCCTCCATCACGCCAGCCACCACCCCCAGCTGCTCCTGTGCAAAATGATGGCCCAACTCATGATGAAGGACGAAACTCGCTCATCTCTGGTGTTGGAACGATAAACATTGCGATCGATGATTCGCACAGTCCCGGGCTTTTTGGGCCCCCTAACCCGAATCCCAACTTCCGCGCAGCTTCATTGCCGGCTCATCAGCAATCGCTACACCAACTAGAGGGAAATATGAGAGCATCTGCTGACCCACATAAACGAGGCAGGAGCGTGAACGACAATGTGCAGTTCAAGTTCCGCAATCTGACCGACCGCATGAGAAGCTCGAGTCGGCCTCGAAATGGACGCTCCCCTGCTTCGGACCGCCAGGATGTATGTTCTCCATACGAGAGCCTAGCAACAAACGGACCGATTGAGAACAGGATCTAAGTAGTCTAACTAATATCTGCTTTATCTTACATCATCTCCTTGAGCTGTCCAGTGAATTCGAGTGTGGGTTTGATTAGATGCTGATACCCATTTTACTGCTCAATTCCCTTTTTCGTTATTTCTATTCTTTTTCCAACCTCTTTGGACCATTTTGAATGCTATTTTACGATCTGATCATATGTTTACCTTTCAGCGATGTTTCCTGGTTTATGTTGATGCCCTAGCAATGTTTGTTGGCTTGGCTAATATATCCTATTTCAATTCCAATTCTTACGATTATTCCTATCACTACCTTCTCATCTTCATAATTAACCACTCCCAACTCTCTACAGCTCTCTAATGAAGTAAACTACAATATATTTAATATATCTACCTAGGGTTATCCTTTAGCAAATTGGACCTAGCACCACGTCACTGGGAACTTAATGATGTTTTACTCCACACGCTTCTAGGCTAGAGAGCCATGCTAGAATTTCCATTATTTTGCCTATTGTACAAACGGGGTTTTACATACAGAGAATTGGTATATTCTTCAAAATATTACATATATGTGATGCCATAGGTAGTAATAAGACGCAACTTGCTACCGACCTACTAGCGTCTCGACCATCCCGACGGTGAATCGTTGTAACCCCCATCGTTTGCGGAAGAGTCTCCTAGAGATTGCTGGCGGATACGCGCCCAGGCACTTCCGGAGGGTGAAGCAGTGGGTGATGATGAGCCAGCGGAACTAGATGTGAATTCTGAGCTGACAGGGCTTGCGTCATCGTCCCAGAAACTCTTCCCCTCTGTGCTAGGAGTGGTGGTGTCACGAGTGGGAGGGTATCTTTGTGGTTGTCTCCAATCCCCTGAATAATCACTTGTATCAGAGGATGAAGATGATGACGAGTAGCCTGTGTTTTCTCCCTGTTGTCGAAAGGTCTCTCTTAAGATTTTCGAATCTCCCATGGCTGATTGGTCGCTATATCCAGCCTGTGCGTCGGGCTGGCTTTGGTAATATGACGATTCAGCGACTCCTTGCTGATCGTAGTTGCTTGTAGGGCTGGTATCATTGGCAGGATAATATTCTGCTCGTTGAGGCCGGGAGCCGCCAGAAGGTGCATTGTTGTGTCGGCGATGAGCTGCTGCTAATTTCTCTGCTTGGTATTGCTTAATACGAGCTTCAACCTCCCGCCGGTCTGCACGTGAAAGGTCATCTCTAAAACGAGCTAACCTGGAATCTGTGACTAGTATGACTTTGCTGTATGCTTCACCAATGACTTCACCAAGGCCGGCGCCAATAATTGCGAATATCGGTAATATAAATGATGCCCTTATGAGTCTGCCCTTCAGCGCACCAGGGTTCAGTTTGAAGAGAGGTCGATTTGGGGTAAATTGTTCGCTGGCCGCCTTGCTGGCCGCGCTCTCAGCTGCAGCATTTTTTGATTTTGCAATAAACGAACCCGCAGCCAGCCCTATAACTCCTCCATAATTAGGCATATTCTGCGAAAACGAAGCCTGTGAAATTAACGCATCCGTCTCTTCTTGGGTTGGGAACCGATTCAGGAGCACGCGGGCAATTTCTAGGCGATCTTCGACTAGGCGGCTAATGTTTCGTTGGTAGTTGCTCTCCGTCCAGTAAAATAACCGTTTGGTGAGACTGAACGGCGGCAATTCAACTCTTGTGGGATATTTCGCAAATCGAGAACGCTTGCCTCCTTCTGCATACTCCGAACCTGAGAAGTATGAATCGCTATCCGAAGGTGGCGCGTCATCCGAGAAGCTCGATTGCTGCGAGTCCAGCACCATGGTTCCTTTCACCCCGTGCGGTTATCTTATTTAGAATTGGCAGGTATCTTTGGGTCGAGGGAGCAGCGGAATTCGTTCGCAGCCGGAGTTGCTCGGTTGATCATGCTCGACGTTGATATTTCCAAGTTGTTAGTTGTTTTGGTGGCGTTGGTATGCTTAGTCATTGCCGTAATGACATAAAGCACGTGATATGTTCGGCTTATATAATAAATTAGTAATTATATAATTACCTAATAACCTTACTCTTATTTTGTTTTTTTGTTTTCTTTTGTTTTTCGTTGCGACTCAGTATTTTGAGCATCCAACAAACAAGGAGATAGAGGAACTGGCGGGATCGCGTCGCGCGCCTAACTCGCAAGCAAGGAGTTTGCTTACTTGCTCACTCCGACTTGCTTTGCTTTGCTGGCACCGATGTTGGACAGCGGGATCCGGAGGCGGAGGGGGTGATGCCTCTGCAGCCGAAGCACCATACGATCGCTTTGTCCGCGTGACATGGACGTCGCCTAAGGTGAATCACTTGCTTGCGTTGCTCATCGAGGAAAAAAAGTAGCTGTCTTTTGCACGCCTTTTCAGTAATAACTAATAATTGATAGGTTGTCCTGTCATCTCAAGTAATGGGGTATGTTTATGTCTGTGCTAAGTGGCTGGCTACCCTGTAACTAGCTACTGCCGGGGTCGGCTCCCCAGTTTCTGGACCTGAAATTGTTCCTGTCAGACGAGAGAGCTAGATTACTAGTTATTTCATACTAAACCGCTGATGTAACGCGGATATGGCTTTCCCAGGTGACAATGTGTAGCCAGTAATATGCTACAACTTTGCTTCACTTGCAAGTGGCCGATTGCTACTTGGTCAGACCTTCAAGTAGTCCGTACCCCCGCTCGAAGCCCCAAATTTGGGCTTCGTGCAAGATGACTTATAAATGAGACTGTCTTCCCAGGTTGCTTGGGTTTTCTTTCGTCTTTCCCAAGGCGAGCTTGCAAAATATACGCCGTAGAGCGCCGCGTCTACTGCTGAAACCTCGCCTCTGTGGTCAGATTCTACCTTTTGGACCTTGATCAGCTAGGAATATACACAGCCAATATGAAGCTTGATTTACTTTTTCTCACAGCTTCTCTCGGAGTATCTACTATCCATGGAAAAGCTATTCAACAGAAAGAGCCTGCTTGCAGAAAGACGAAAGTCGCAATACTGTATGTTTTCCAGACATCCCTTCGTCTATTTTACATATATAGCTTACATTTTAGCAATACAGAGGTGCAGGCGTTGCTGGGATTACGGCTGCGGTAGGCCGCCTTTGCTTGCATGCCATGTATTGGATTAAAATGAGAATTTAACAGAAGATATCCTGATTAAATTTAGCAAACACTTGCAAACCGATCGATGACGGATTTCGTCATTGTTGAATACCAAGGTAGAATCGGCGGGCGTCTGCATGATGTCAAGTTTGGGAAAAAGAAAGATGGATCCCCCTATACTGTTGAGGCCGGTGCAAACTGGGTAGGCTCTTGATTTAGGCCGCGTTTAGGCTCTACCTGAACAAGCCGTTGTTAACAATGATGATGGCATTATAGGTCGAAGGGCTTGGAGGGACATCAGGTCATCCGGAAAACCCAATATACACATTGGTAAGGGAAGCTCAACTCAAAAACCGACAGCTGATTGTTGAACCAGACTGGCTAATGCAATGTTAAGGCCAAGAAATATAAGATCCAAGCTCTGTGCGTTTACACCAGTGATTAAATTATTCTGCCATGATTACTTACCTTTTTACATAGGGTGACGGACTATGATAGTAAAACGACATATGATAAGACCGGCAGGAATGATTTTTCCAAAATAATAGCAAATGCTGCATCTGCTATGGACAAGGTGGTTGCTCATGCTGGATCGTTGTTAAAGAATAACATCCAGGACAAAACAGTTCGTGCGGCTCTTCGATTTATGGGCTGGAATCCGGCCCCGAATAATGCACATGCGCAGTTTGCAGACTGGTTTAGCAGCGACTTCGAATCCAGCTTCAGCCCGGAGGAAAATTCTGCGATATTCTCCTCCGTTGCCGATAATGCTACTTTCGCTCATTTTTCGGATGACAATCTTTTCGTCTACGATCAACGAGGCTACAGTAAGAAACCTCCGCTCCTTATATTACTCCCCCAGGTTGAGTTTTTGGCTACTTGGCTAATTGCAATAACTAGGTGCTTTTATTAGGGGCGAGGCTGCCACATTTCTTGAGCCCAATGACCACAGACTGCTCCTGAATACTGTCGTTAAGCTTGTTAATTACACGGACGATGGTGTAACTGTTGTGACAGACAACGGTGGCTGTATCCAAGCTGATTATGCAGTTTCAACTTTTTCTCTGGGGGTGTTGCAGCGTGATGTGGTACAATTCTATCCTCCGTTTCCTAGCTGGAAAAAGTCTGCCATTTCAAGTTTTGAAGTAGGAACATATACCAAGATATTCCTTCAGTTCGACAAAGCATTCTGGCCAAACAGTCAGTATCTTATGTACGCGGATCCTCATGAGAGGGGTTATTACCCTCTTTTTCAGCCGCTGGACCTCCCAGGTGCTCTACAAGGCTCCGGGATCCTTGTGGGAACGGTTGTGGGTAAGCAGGCACGCAAAGTAGAGGCTCAAACAGACCAGGAGACCAAGACCGAGATTATGAAAGTGCTTCGAACGATGTTTGGAAAGAATATTCCAGACGCAACTGCTATTTGGTATCCACGGTGGAACCAGGAACCTTGGTATGTGGCCAAACCTTGTATTAATTAGTATGGGTTGTTTGCTTACTCGATACGCCTAGGGCCTACGGTTCTTACTCAAACTGGCCTCCGTCAACAAGTCTTCAGGCACACCAAAATCTCCGAGCAAACGTTGGCCGGCTCTTTTTTGCTGGTGAAGCGACAAGCCAGGAGTTTTATGGATACTTGCACGGTGCTTTGTATGAGGGACGTGCGGTAGGAGAGATGCTGGCCACTTGCATTGGTGGTCCGAAGCAGTGTACGGATGAGAATGGACAGCCACGGTACCCAGTACTGACTGGAGTCACTCCGTTTGATTTGTACAACAAGGAGAATGGATGGTTCGTAGACACTATGGTTTAGAGCTACAACTTAGCGTAGAGGAGCGCTCAATGTTCTTAGTTATTTTATGGGAAGTATTCGATTCTAGTTTCCGTAGGTTGGTAGGTTGTTGAGTATCCACATACACGTAGTGAGTTAAACAAGAAGATATTACAGAGTAGTTACTCTAGGAAATAGATTAACGCCTTTATTAACTAAGTCTAAGATCTATTTAAAGGACGACCTAGCCCTATCTAAGATTATTAAGTATATCTATCAAAAAATAGCGCCTTTTATACTAGCTTCTAGCCTTCTACCTATAGAATAATATTATAATATTCTCTACTATATAAAGATAGACATAGATAAATAGAGCTCTCTAATAAGAAACCCCTCGTTGTTACAGACCATCTGCGGCACAGCCCAGAGAAGTACACTCATTGGTTGGAAGGACAAGGTTACGGAACGGAAGAACCTAGGAACTCTCCAGGTCACGTGATAATTAGAGCGCCCTGTCCCAAATGCCAAGGCCATCGACAGGTCCACGGTGGGACCTCAGCGTTAAGGTCCCTGATGAAAAAGAATGGATCCATCAGGTGAGTACCAGAGTAGGCGCCCAACCCTATACCAAAGACCTCCCGTTTCATCGTTTTCTTATACACAACGCGTTTGGAGTTTTATATGAAATGCACTCTGTACAAGCAAGCGATTGCTCAAAGAAGCGGATTTACAGTTAGGAAGGGCAGAATTTGGAAGAGCCTTTATGTCAATGAGAGAAACAGAGTATAAAGCCTGCAAAGAGCGCGCGCGCAACTTCCGAATGGCAGAATTCGCGGCCAGCCCCTACTTGCGATGCAAGTGTACTTCAGATTCGCCAAAAATGATCACATTCATTGGACAAGGGTCTCCCTACGGCGTGCTCCGTATGTACTTAATACGAGCAAGATTTCAGAATTGGGGGGCCGGCGCTTCCACGTCCTTGCACTCTGTGCTTCCTAACAGTCCCATTGGTAGGCGAAAGGTCCCTGTCAACCATCGTTCATGCATTTCATAGATGGGTGGTATTCGTGGTACCACAGAGGCATCCTGGCTCCCTGGATTACTGATCGATGAGACGGCAACCCAGCATCTTTTGCATAACGATGATGTGGGCTCGATCTCAGCTGTCAGCCTTGCGGAAGAGTAGGCTTACCCCTCTATTCTAACCGCACGTCGTTAAAAACTGAGGAGTAGGCACTATCTGTGATACGGTCACAACGCTCTATTTCGTTTTCACCCAACAACTCACGATATTCCTCTGTTTTGGCATTCTAATAACCAGTCGACCATCTCCCTTGGTGCTATCCTCCTGATTCTAAAGCAACGATGGAGCCAGCTGGCCTTGCTGTTGGCGTTCTTGCCCTCGCCGGGTTATTCAACAACGCCGTTCAGTGTTTCGAGTATATCCAACTGGGTCGTGGCTTCGGCTCCAAGTTTCAAACCTGCCAGCTCAGGCTAGACTGCGCCCAACTCCGTCTATCGCGATGGGGCAGGTCGCTGGGCTTAGACGTCGCACAACCCCAGCAAACGCTGCCCGATTTCCCTGGGTCTCCTGAAGAAGTCAAACTTGCAGAGGGGCTTCTAGGGCAAATCCTAGACTTATTTGAAATTGCCGAGTTTCGTTCATCCCAATTCAAAAAGCGAGCAAGTCCTGATGATGATACCCTCGCAACTTACGATTCTCAAACAGACCTAGAACCGACCTTTGGATTCATCCACAGAGTTATGCGCAAGTTAGCTATTGATACCCAGAAGCAAGCGACCCTAAAAGAGAAGACGAAGTGGGCATTGTATGAGGAAAATGCGTTAGGACGGCTTATCGAAGATATCACGAAGCATGTTGAGGACCTAATAAACCTATTTCCTACTGCCAAACCACGCCAGCAAGAGCTTTGTAAAGCCGAAGTCTCCGAGATCGAAGTACATGAAGCGGGAGCACGGGTTTTGAGGGAGATCGCGGCCCAGCAAGACAAGTTACTGGAGACCATGCTCATGAAGTCCGGCAACAACAGCGCGCAGCCACAGCCAGCCATAAGTGCTGTATTTTCCGGTTCCAACAACAAAGGCGTTCAGCTTGCAAGCAACTCTGGTACATACACCATGGGTAACATGACGTTCGGGAAGGACTAATGTGACTTCTTGGTACATCGTTAAGTGAAGACTGGCTTGCATAGCTACTTGGGGTAGCTAATTAAGGGATCCATATACTTAGTAGTTCAAGTCATACATTTAAGTTACATACACGTCCTTACTCCCGTGGAAATACAATCGCAGCGTTTTTTCAAAAAAAGATCAATTATAATAATAGTAATAACCATGTGTACATTAAAAAATAGGCGCTGCATGATACTTCTAAAATTAGTTAACCAATGGAGATGGGGTTAGCAAGGGGAGAACTCTTGCCGCCGTCTTGAGGGCAGCCCCTTATCAAGGCTGAGGTATATAACCCCGACATCTCAGCCACCGCATTCCTCTCTTGTAACGTCTTGCATCCAGGTCTATGTCATGAAATACAGATCACAGTTATATTCAAAGCTTTCGTCTCATACATTTGAAGTCGTTGTTCAGCATGGCCCATCCTACAATTAGCGCAGTTTTCTCAGGGAATGGAAACGCCGGTTTACAGTTTGGTAATAATTCTGGTACTCTCAATTACAACCCTACCAATAACAACACTACCATCAACAATACTACCAATAATAACACTAACTATAACTATCCGGAACGTATGTAATTAGCCCACCCGTTGTCAGGCGTTGCTAATTTTATTTACCCTCTTCTAGCACGACCGGAAACATCACCTAAACCTAGCTGCAAAATTCCCTTTAATCGTGACAAAGAAGGCTTTGTCGATCGAGTGACAATATTCGATGAAATCGAAGAGAAAGTCAAAGCACCAGGTTCTTGGGTTGCCCTTGTCGGCATGGGGGGTGTCGGGTAAGCAGATGAAGGGACTCTATCACTATACGTACTAATTGAGTGAAAAGGAAATCTCAGCTCGCTATTGAATATGCCTACCGCCTCAGAGATCAACTACAGCTCCCTGACACTTGGGTTTTTTGGATCTATGCGAGTAACTCTGCACGTTTTCGGGAAAGTCTCGAGGAGATTGCCGAACATGCAAAGATTCCTGGCCGGGACGATCCGGAGCCAGGCATTTTGAAGCTCGTTTATCGCTGGCTTGACGATGAAAAGAGAAAATGGGTTATCATCCTAGACAATGCTGATGACCTCGATTTTCTCGAAGACACGTCCGTCAAGGGGGGCAAACCCAACAAGAGCTTGACCAAATACATTCCTAAAACAGAGAATGGATCGGTCTTCATCACGAGCCGAAGCAGAGAAACAGCATCGGCTCTCGTCGATAACAAGCATATCATCAAAGTTAACCCGATGGATGAAGCACACGCTATTGACCTGTTCCAAAAGAAGCTACCCAAGCCAGACGATAAACTGATTGCCGAACTGGCAGCAGAACTCGAGTTCTTACCTCTCGCAATCGTCCAGGCTGCATCCTATATCTCGCATAAGGAGCCGCGCTGTTCAGTCCAGGAATACCTTGATGACTTTAGGAAAATGAGGGCTGACGAGAAGCTGATGCTCCTCGGCGAGAAGGGACGAGACCATCGTCGTGACAGGGATGCAGTCAACCCTATAAGCGATACGTGGAAGATGTCATTTAATCACATCCAAAGGACAAGACCGTCGGCGGCAGACTTATTGGCGCTCATGTGCTTCTTCGATCGGCAAGGAATCCCTGAGTTTGCCCTCCACCCGTCAGATACAGAACGCGAGATAGGCCTCTCCCCTAGCGATAGCACGCCAGGACCGGCCGCTAGAGATATATCGTTCGAGGACGACGTATCGACTCTCAGAGACTTCTGTTTTATCTCTGTTAGGACGCGCCATATGTTCGACATGCACAGGCTGGTGCAGCTGGCTACCCAGAAATGGCTCCGTGGTAATGAGTCGTTTGAGCGCTGGCGGAAAACATTCATTTGTCGGCTTTTTTTGAAATTTCCAACATCATATGAAAAAGAGGGATGGAGCCGTTGCCAACAGCTATTCCCTCATGTGAAATCGGCAGTTAGTCACAGGCCTCTATGTAAGAAAGAGCTGGGTTGTTGGGCGATACTCCTATGTCAGGCAGCGAGGTATGCTGGTGAACGGGGAAATAAGGCTGACGCGGTGACGCTGTCGACGACTGCGATAGACATAAGCAAAGAGGCCCTTGGCGAAAAACACCCAGCCACGTTATTGTGCCAGACGATTCTCATGTACATGGGGTCTCGCACGGAAGGCATCGAGGGGTTGCCCAGCAAGGAGGGCGGTGCAGGCCGGTCAAGTTCTGAGCCGCTGACAGAAGAAGAAAGTGGCTGGCTACAGATGGTAGCGCAGAAAAGGCTAGAACTTGGCCGAGATCACCCACTTACGCTTTCGGATATGGCCAGATTAGCGGCAATATATTCTTACAACGGGCGACCCAAGAAGGCGGTGAAACTCCAGCGCAAGGTGGTGAAGTTGGCCACGGCGGCCCGGGGGCTCGAGGACCGAAAAACCCTCTCACACAGGAACGGACTGGCATGGATATACCGAGAACAAGACCGCCTCGTGGAGGCCGCAGAGATACTGGTGCAAGTAGTAGAGACGAGCAAGAGAGTCAACGGTCCAGAGAACACAGACACCCTGAGATATATGTTTGAGTTGGCAGAGACATACCGTCGTCAAGGCCGGCTGGGGCAGGCCGAACAGGTCTTCATAGAGGTAGTAGACGTGAGCAAGAGGGTCAACGGTCTTGAGAAACCAGATACAATAGATGCTATGGGCAGGTTGGCAGGGACATACATTCGTCAAGGCCGGCTGGAGCAGGCCGAACGGCTGTGCACAGAGGTAGTAGACTTGAGCAAGAGGGTCTTTGAAGAGGGCGATGAAAGAACACAACGCTATATCGGCCGGCTTGATGTCGTGCAGTGCCTCAAAGAAACGGATCCGGAAACCCGTGCGAAACTTATCTCCAAGTTAAAGACACCATAATCTAGAAGAGTAGTTAGCCTGATCTATGTAAAATATTATCAACTTTATATATTGCGCTACGAGCTCAGCTATATATAAAAGTAATTAAGAGGGCATCTTAAAAGTAAAGTAATGTTTACTTATTTAATTCATTTACACTAGTTGGTATTTTTATATTAAATAACAGGTCAACTCTTGGTTGATATGTTACTCTCTAATAGTAGGGGATATTATTTCTAAAGCATAGGTATTTTATTAAGTTGGTTTTTAGAGAGGGTGATGAAGTTTGTGTATAATATTATAGGAAAATGTATCCCTTTCACCTGGAGCGAGCGGTAGGAAAATATGAGTACCGCCTACAATAAATATTCAATTATTTTCTCCTTCCGTGTAATCAATGAATCAATGACGCTCTAGATCGAATCGCATGCTTAAAAAAAACCCACGGCGGCCTCCTTTATCAGTATTCTGTGTTGAGAACGAACAGTAGCGGTCCTTTATGGCTACCACTTCATATGTTCCCTCATCTGATGCTTTAACTGTCTTCGTGTGCTCGTGAGAAATATCATTCTTCGTATCAAGGATCACACGCTTCTTGCCCTTTCCATCATTCGTGCTGCGGGTAGAGTTACCATTTCTCTACGTACGGACGAAGGTCTACTTCATGGGTAAATGTTGTTCTTGGCTGAGAATGTAAATGCCAGTACGTTTCCGCAATCTGGGTTGACGCATTAACGCAACTGTATTGACTATAATTAGTAGACTAGCATTAAATGGGAGGATACTTACGGCATCGGGATCCAGTTTTGAATCGGGAGAGCCAAATTGGACATGGCTTGTTCGTTCGATGTCGATGACTCCATCAACGATGGCATGACAGACGTGTATGCCCTGAGGACCAAATTCCCTGGCCAGGGACTGTGCAACAGCTCGCAGGGCAAACTTGCCTGATGCAAACGCTGTGAATTTTGCAGACGCTTTGAGACTTGCAGTGGCGCCTAGTTGTCAAATGTTAATATATAATGCATCATATTCAGGAGTCTATGTATAAATAGTTACCGGTAAATATCAATGTAGGTGGAAGCTCCAAATCAGTGGCCTTTTGGAGTCGTGGTATTGCGGCCTGAGAGAAATGGAAACCTCCCAGTCTTTTGACAATACGAAACAGTTAGTCCCGGATATCAATTAATAGTTATAGTATAAACACCGCTCAAGGATAAAACGGAACAAGTACCCGCTAGTTTTGAATCCCTGAGTGAAATCATCTTCGTTCAGTTCCAGAAACGGCTTCACGGAAAGGCCGCCGCCAACATTGTATATAGCAGCAGCAAGCAGGCTGCCTGGAAAAGTCTTGTCGACCTCTGCAAATGCATGCTTGACGCTGCCTGCGTCCGATACGTCTGCACTGATGCCTACGGCCTTACCGCCGCTCTTAGTGATGTCGTCGACAACTCCCTCGTAATTCTTTGGATTGCGGGCTAGAAGAGCCACTGGGTACTTTTGGGAAAAGCGACGAGCTATGGAGGCTCCCTGGGAAGGGAATATCAGCATTATAAAAGCCCATGAGTTTCGAATGGCATCTGGCATACCGTCCCAGGGCCGACGCCGGCGATAACAGCCACTGCCTTTGCTGTCATAATGGTTACTTATGAGGTCGTTATGTGTAGGAAGATTTATTGTAAGAAAATGGGGCTAAAGGTGGAGGGAGGTGACTTTCTTTGATGTTAGTGACGGATGCTGGCTGGTCCGGCAAATTATGCTTTGTTAATACATCCGCAAGTGCATTCTACACATGGGCTTCCGCAGTGGCGTCACATCGCCTGAGGAAGCGGAGAGCCAGTATCCCGAGGTCGCTACCTAAGCTCTATTAGGTTAGTATCTAGTTTACGTAAAAAAGGGCTGAGATCTTGGCAATCTTATCAATCTTATCTCTTTGAAATCTTGGCATTAATTTATCTTATCAATCTAAAAGCTAGCTTGCAAGGGTTCTTTGAAGGACAACGAATCCTAACAAAATGTCCTGGTTCTGGTGGGTATTATTATGGCTAGTTGTTAGCCTTTACCCGGATAAATCGGATATGTGGTCATGGCAGGAAATGCTATGGCTACTTGTTGTTGCCTCGCCTGCTGTCCTTTCATTTATAACTGAAAAGCTTCCCCATTGCCCTCTCGTCTACCGGAGTTTCTAAAGTGCCTAAGTACTGGTATATACCCATATTACGTGGATTTTGCATCCTCTCAGCTTTTTTTAGTTCCAGAGCCACTCAGATCAGCCATGGAGACCGAAAAGAAGCAGGAGATTGAGCAAAACCAACAGGACATAGCAAGTGGTCTAGATGCGGAGCGGAGCAGCCTAGATAAAGGCCACAGTCATGCTGACCGCATTATTGGTATCGCAGAAGCTGCTGACGATGAGACACTCCTCGTCATGTTCAGTGCAGATGATCCCGACAATCCCCTGAATTGGCCCAACACGTTGAAGTGGGGAGTCACAGTAGTACTCTCTGGGGCAGGGTTTAATCGGATCATGATCTCAACAGTAAGGAAATCTCAATTACAAGCTAGCGAGAGGTGATATCAATATAGGATCTACCTGTTATAGATGATGGCACCGGCAATAAACACTATCGGAATCGAGCTAAATATGTCAACCACGGAGTCGACCATGGCTCTATCCGTGTATCTGTTGGCAACAGCATTTGGGCCACTTCTTATTGGTCCTCTGTCAGAATTTTATGGGAGGAAGCCCATCTTTCACATTACCAGTGTTTGGTTCTTAG